TCTTGGGCCATCTAGTCTGACCCCTGGCTCTGTTCATGTAACCCCCAACATGTGGTTGTCCAATCTTACTTTGAACACCCTCACTGACAGAGCCTCTGCCACCTTCCATGGAAGCCCACTTCATATCCTAGGGGTCATAACCATCAGGGAGTACTTCCTGACATCCAACCTGAAACTGGGTTTCTTGAGCTTCTATATAAAAGGGTTAATATGGAGACAAAACTCTTACTATTGGTACTGGTACAAACCAAGTTTGAGATAACTAACATTTGTGGGGAGTACTTTTAAGGATTTGAGTCCCTTTAAAGAAGGAGAGCTAATTACAGGAAGAGAGTGATAATTTGAGAAATTGCAGTTGGACAGGATGGGTTTAAAGGCACTTAAAGCCCTATTGGACTGGTTTAGACAAATTTCTAGAAAATCAGAATCTGGAAAATTCACAGAGAGAACTGAACCCTGGGAAACAAGAATATTCCTATTTTCCTCCATGCTTTCGTATTTACATGCATATTGATTACACATTGGTTTGTAAGTATTTAGGCTCAACAGTGCTCATCTTAGAAATACAAGGATCAGGATTGATTGATTATTTATTTATTTATTTATTTAAAACTTTTGTGCCCCGTCCTATACATAAAAGTCTCAGGATAGTCCAATAACAAAGGCACAGCATAACATCTATGATAAAAGCCTGACTAAAATAAAAACTGAGTCTTAAAACAATGGAAAAAATAAAAAGGTTTTGGCCTGGCACTGAAAAGAATTGTGTTGGCGCCAGGTGCACCTCTCTGGAGAGAATTTCCCACAGCCAGGGTGCCACCACAGAGAAGGCCCTTCTCCAGGTAGCCACTCTCCTAATCTCTTTCAAAGAGGGCTCCTGAAGAAGCACCTCCGATCCAGATCTTAAGTGGTGGTCAGGTGCATAGGTTCAAGATTAATTCAAGAACAAAGTGCCATAACTTCAACGATAGCAGTTTATCAGATAGCGGAAACCTACCTCTGCCACCTAGAGGTCTGGAGATCTCTAATAAAACTAAAGAGGAATTGAAATTCTATTTAAAACCAACTTGCTGGAAAAGCATCACAGGCTATAATGCAAGATGCAATGAAAGCAGCAATTATGCAAAATTGTATTGAAGGGAAGGCCATTTTTATTAAGTTTCATAAGGAGAGGCAGAAAGGGCTACAAATGATAACTTAAAACCTCAAAAGCTAAGCATGAACAAGTAAGATCTGTAAAGTTTCAAATGAGCTGCTAGGAAAAATGAGAGAAATAGAATGGCTAAAAGTGCAGAAAACAATGGTAACATTGTGCATTGTGGTATATGCAGCAGAAACATTACAAATGTATAGAGATAAAAACTCCAAATTGCTAGCTAAAATCCTTAGGATTAATAGGAACAGAATTCTAGCAATACAAGGTGAGCAGGGTAAGTTACAGCACATGAACAAGGATATTACTAAAGGTTTTGCAAAAATTTATCTGCCAAAAATTTAATATATCAAAGAATCTACCATATGTAAAGAAGGTCTACTTAGATGCCATAAGTGAACAGCATGTGTCAGAAGGACATAAAGCTATATTTAATCAAATTTCTCAGCTGACAAAACACTAAGAGAAACTCAAAAACAAGAGAACTGGATTTGATGGATACTCTGGAAATTTTTACAAAAAGTAGAAGCTGCTCCTAGTTCCTAATACACACAGCATCTAGTATTATGTTGGTCCCAAATACATGAAGGATCCAAAGATAGTTCAGGGATAGCAAACCCATTGACCTTTTGAATTTAGCCTTGAAATCAATCACTGCTATTTTAGCAGCAAGGCTGCATTAATAGAAGTATCACTTCCATATCCCAAGCTTTACTCAGCACTGGTTAGGCCTCATCTGGAGTACTGTGTCAAGTTCTGGGCACCACAGGTTAAGAAAGATGCAGATGAACTGAAAAGAGTGCAGAGGAGGGATGATCAAGGATGAACCAGAGACTGGAAACAAAGCCCTGTGAGGAGAGATGGAAAGAACTGGGCATGTTTAGTCCCAAGAAGAGAAGACTGAGAGGAAATACGTACTCCGCAAGTACTTGAAAGGCTGTCACAAAGAGGACAGACAGGATCTCTTCTCAGTCATCCCAAAGCACAAGACACTGAATAAAGCGATCAAGTTTCAGGAAACCAGATTTCAGCTAAATATCAGGAAAAATGTCCTGACTCCAGTATGACAATTGAACCAATGACTTGTGGAGGTTGTGGACTCTCCCACACTAGAGGCATTCAAGATGCAGCTGGACTGCCATGTGAGAGGGAAGGTTTAACTTGTGGAACTGCATTGATAAGGGGGTTTGACTTGATGGCCTCTGGCCCCTTCCAACTCTACTATTCTATGATTCTGTGCTTTATAACATCTCACAAAGGTTCAGTTTTGATGGAATTCATATAGCTATTGCTTTGTAATTTGTTTTAAATTTGGCTTTTAAATTTTGTATTGTAGTTATACAATATTCTTATTGTTGCCTGTATTTTATATTTTATGTGTTATTGTAAACCACCCAGTGAGCCCAGCTATGGGGCAGTTTAGGGTTGATGATGATAATTACGTTAATGTCACATTGAGAGCTAGCTGATCCCATCCGAAGAATGCTGAAAGTGATTTCACTGGAAGAAAAACACAAAAAAACAACTGGACAGCCCAGTGTGTATAAAACATTTGGCTGATTAGAATGCTTAGTTTTGTTTTGTTTTTCTGTTCAAGTTATTAACTGAGATTGGGTGGGGAAATTTTATTCATAAGGACCATCTCTAAAGTTTCCAAAGCATCCAAAGCAATGTTTGGAACAAATGGAAGTGAGGCCTCTCTTACTAATCTGGTCAGGAGATCAAGGCAGAATTGACTTCTTTCCCCACTCTTATTTGCCATAAGAGTCCTTGGAAAGAGTCCTTTGAGCTAAGCCAGATATAAATGACTCCACATGGAGTTCACATGACTCCAGTTCTCCGTCAGCTTCACTGGCTCCCCATTGAAGTCCGGGCCCAATTCAAGGTGTTGGTTATGACCTATAAAGCCCTTAAAGGCTTGGGTCCTGGTTACCTGAAGGAGCACTTACGTCCATATATGCCCGCCCACCCCTTGAGATCAGCAGGAGAGGCCCTTCTCCGGGAACCCTCCGTGAAGGAAATTAGGAGGGTAGGTACTCGGAGGGGGGCTTTTTCTGCAGTGGCACCCAATCTATGGAATGCGCTCCCCAGAGAGGTCCGCCTGGCGCCGTCGTTATTTGTTTTTTGGCGCCAGGCGAAGACCTTTTTATTCAAACATTATTTTAATTGTTAATATTATTTATTTATTTTATTTTTTGGGCCAGGTCGACTCATATTATATTGTTTTATACTGTGTTTATTTATTATTGTGAGCCGCCCCGAGCCTTCGGCAAATGGGGCGGCATAGAAGCCTTCTGAATGAAAGAAAGAAAGAAAGAAATTGGGAGTAGTGAGCAGAATCATTTTCTATGTGTGCCTGCTGATAATGTAGCATTACTTCTTGCTTACAGAAACCTAGAAACAGAGCAAGTCAGGAATGGCCTCTTGGGCCATCTAATCTGACCCTCAGCTCCAGCCAGCTCCGTTCATGACATGCCTACCATGTGTTATCTGATAGCATCTATTCCAGAGGTGCAAGTAAAGATAGCAAACTGGGGCAGTAGCTGGGTTAAAAATCAGCTATATGAAATCTGGCATACTATGTCTTAATAATCCCCTCAAAATACAAAAGGTCATCGAAACATTATCTGGTTTTACACTCAATCATAAAAAAATGAAATACCTGGGAATTATAATTCATAAAAACCTGGCTAAATTGAAGCATTTCAATTTCTTTCCAGTAATGGAGCGTATTAAAAGTGAGATTAAATGGTGGGACAAGATACAGCTATCCTGGCTGGGGAGAACTGAAACTTTTAAAATAACTTTACTCTTGAAGCTGACTTTTAATATTCAGGTTCATCCCATGTTGTTTTGCACAAAACTTTAAAGGGATAGCAAAACTTTATACAGATTGTTACATTAAAGCTAAAAATGGCCAAGTCTATAGAAGAATGCATTATACATTGGGGAAAAACAGGGATATTGTGTATTCCATACTACTCTGCATTTGAACATGGTGTTGCACTGATTTGCATGAGTTCTAATGTGCAATTACAAACTTGTACAAATGTGCTAATCTGCATGTCTGCATTAGCATTGATGTGAATTAGCACATGTAGAAGGAAATTCTAGTTTTAAAAAGTCTGATTCTACAAATGATCAAATTGCAGAATGAAAATCTGTAAAACACAGAATGGATTTAACAAAATCCAAACATCCCTAGCTCAAAGTAAGGCATTTATCTTTTGTGAGCATAAAGGCAGCAAATAGGTCCTTCTCTTCATTATTTCTAGCAATCTCCCACATCATTATATTTCCTATATTATAACTAGGGGAATCATCATAATCATGTTGTACAATAACTAAGTAATCAAAAAACCCAAAGGATCATTCCAAGGAAGTTGTGCATTTCATGTAGGAAATGTAAAATTGTACCCCAAATCAGCTTGAGCTAAGATTTAAGTAGGCCCTGCACAGTAGCTTTCTACTACTGTTTTTATCAAGGAAGAATATATATTATTCTTGAGTCCTCTCTTGGATACATCAATATTGTTACTCAGTTTTAGCTCTTATGTTGCAGACCTATCTGTAATTTATTTTTTTATAAACCACAGAATAACAATTTTCACTTTTCACTCTACAAGTTCAAGTATTAGTTAAGGTTTTACTAATTATGGTTGTTTTCCATTTCAGAAGACCAGATCATATGTTAAACTTGATTGAAGCTGCTAAGGGCTGCTACTGTAACCAGATCAGTTACCAGATACTAGCAATATAAACATTATTGTAAAGCTGCTTTCTTTTAATAAAACAACAATCAATTGGGGAATTTTCTTAGTGTTTCTCCTCTTTTCTGTGATAATAGAAGTTTGGCAGAACAGAGATGAAGGATGGAACTTCTCACAGGAGTATGACCCAGAAATGATCAAAGAGGAAAAGAGGAAAGAAGTGGAAGAAGAGATCAGAGTGCAGGTGAATTTGTATTAGCAGGCCATTTGTAACAAACAGTGGCTTATTGCCATAAAGGACTCCTATGTAAAAAATAAAAGCTTATAATATGTATTTATAGAGTAGCATTACTCTGTCTTACCCATTAACCCTACACTATAGAGTAGTTACTTGAGGGATCCTTTGTGTAGAGATATGAAATGAAGAGGTGCGGGGGGGCGGGCTCTAGGCCTTTATTTGAGTTGCCAACATTATCAGAATTTTCATGCAGCAAATACTGCTTTCATTTTCTCCCCTTTCTCCTGATTTCATATGAATTACTAAAAGCAAAGGGAAGGCTTCATTTCTGACTTCTTTATGACCTTGAGCACTCAAAAAAAAACTACGTTGTACTTCACATGCATTATCTGAGGCTAGTCTGCACATGCAGTAGAATAGGGATCTCTCTCTCTCTCTCATCTTTGGGCATATTTGGTAATTTGAAAAACCACAAAATTGTGGCCTTGGAAGATGTGACTAGTCACATAATTCTGCTATGCCTATCTGGCTAATCCAAAGGAAGAGACATTCATTCAACAAACTAAGTACAAGCAGAGGAAAGGTCTGAACTTTAAAGCCAATTCACATATTGGGATTACATGAGCAGAGCTGGCTGGGGCCAGGGGTCAGACTAGATGGCCCCTTCTGGCTCACTTCCCCCCCATGTTTCTATATTTGGCTCATAAAAGCATAACCATTTAAGATTACAATATATGTATACTTACAGAAAATTCTGAGGGAATTAACTATGATTAGGACTACCTCTGCTTTGCTTATCCTATAGACACATGCCCCTTTCCCCAACCCCAGGAAGAGGAAAAGCTCTCCCTCCTTCAGCATAAGCTCAACCTCTCTCTTCCCTACCTGCCACTGCTTGCCTCTAAGGCAGGGGTCCTCAAACTTTTCCACTAGGGGGCCGTTGAAAACTGCTGGTGCTGGGCGCGGGCCAGAAAGGCAGTGCCGGTGGTGCGTGGGGGTGGCGCATGTGGGCATGCATGTTGAGGGGGAGGCAAGGGCGCATGGTGAGGCAAGGCATGGACAGGCGCACGAGGCGAGGCAGGGGCGGGCATGCACCATGAGGCGGGCGCACGAGGCAGCGGTTTGCTCTCTTGGAGATTGTTTTCGCACACAGGGCAAGGTGGGCAGTGGCAGGTGCGGGCGCAGGTGCGGCGGATCCATATGGACATGGCAGGCCGGATAAATGGGCATGGCAGGCCACATCTGGCCCCCGGGCCTTAGTTTGAGGACCCATGCTCTAAGGTACGTGTGTGTAAAGAATGAGAGAAGGGGGAAGGAATGGGGAGACAAAGAGCAGGGCTAGGAATGGGAAGAGTTAGAAATAATGAGTGAGAAAGTGGGAGATAAAGAGTAAGGCTGCGGGTAAGAATGGAGAGAAACTGCAGAATAAAAGGGTGGGGGGGAATAGTAAGCATAAAGGCTAGGAGGGCCTGGGAAGTCATGAGAGGCTAAGGGTAGGGGAGAAACAGTCAGCTGAAGAGGTGAAGGATAAATAGCAAGGGGAAAAACAGTAGAGAGGAACAGCAAGCGAAACGAGTGAGTGAGAGAGGGAGCACTAGAGGCCAGGAAGGAACAGGGAAGTGAAAGAAATAGTGAGGAAAAGGGTGGTGAGGGGAGACCTCTACACATGTGTAGATGGGAGAAATAGCAAGGCTAGAAACTGGGAGTGATACTGATACTCAAGTATCAGAGGCACTATGCCTGTGTATACCAGTTGGTGGACAGCATGGTCAGGAGAGTGCTGTTGTACCCATAGGAACATAGAATCAGAGTAAGTCAGACGGGGCCTTCCAGGCCATCTAGTCTGACCCCCGGCTCCAGCCAGCTCCACTCATAACATGCCTACTATGTGCATGTCTAGCCTATCCTTGAACACCCTCACAAATGGGGCTTCAACTGCCTCCCGTGCAACCCCATTCCATACCCTAGGGGTCCTAACTCTCAGAAAGTCCTTCATTGTGGCCTCTGTGCATCACACATTATGGGTACTGCGCTTGCGCAGTGCCTGTTGCTGGGAAGATGAAACAGCTTTAATGGTTTTGGTGGGAATTCCATGCCCTCCCCCCCATAGTATAAATGGGTGGAGTGCCCACCATTTCCCCAGTCTTGCGACCACCATTTGCTGTGCCTCGAGCCTTTCGCTTGTCTCTTGTAGCTATATTCAAAAGTTTTACTGTTATTCTCTTGACTTTATAGCTTCTCTCTCTTATCTTCTTTATCCAAGTTATACCCTATCAAATTCCCCCGTTGAAAAGTTTTTCTCCCCCTTTTCCCCTTTCCCCTTTCAATTATATATATACCCTGTATATAACCCCTTCTATTGTTATTCCTCTTGTTAAAATTCTTCTTTCGTTTGCTGTTTCCTGTCTCTCTTTTCTTCAATGGCTCAGCGGGCAGCTTTCCACAAGTGTTCCCAGTGTGGGGCTAAAAAGTCCCCCAGTGATCCTCATGACCTGTGCTGCCCATGCATGATAAGTGTGGCCATTGCCAGTCCTTTACCAGGCAGGCCCACAAGAACCAGGAAAACTGTCTGTGGAAAATGGTGTGGGACCAGGCTTTGGTCGCTATGAACAAGGTTTTGGCAGAGACCGCTGCAGCCGGTCCATCTAAAGCCGCTCCTCCTCCTCCTCATCCATAGGATGGTGGCACAACTTCTAAGGATGCAAAAAACTCCTCTCATTCTCCTCACCAAAAGCAGAAGGAGAAGAGGAAGCATTTCGGGTCCAACAAGTCCTCTGCGCCAAAAAGACCTAAGAAGAACAAGCCCGATAAGGCCAAACGCAGGCACAAGAAGCATGCTAAAGTGCCTCACGTGGAATCGGTAATTACTGTACCTTGGGTACTGATTCCCGCCTCAATCCTGGCCCCTAAGATTCCATCGATCATGCAAGTGACTCCACTGGGGTCTCCTCCATGGATCGTCATTTCGGCTCTGTACACTCCTGACCATTCCGCCCCTGTGGCTAGAGGCGAAATCTAGGAGTCTTCACCTTGGTCTTAGACTGACCTGCCACCGGCACATTCCCCAACACCAATGCCTACATCTCCGTAGGGATCTCCGAGGGCTCTCCAACATCCAGCATCCCTCTAACAACAACAGCAGGCCCCAGTTCAGCATTCTAAATACTGGGTTCCTCTTCCATACAGGGACTTTGATCCATCTTGGTCCTATCCATGGGACTATTATCCTCCCTATGGCTACTGCACAAGGCCTTCTATTCGTCCTTGTCACACCACCCCTCATTCAGTGCCAAGGGATGTCCTGTTGGCTTCTGCGGTTGCTCTTTTCTGACCCCCGCCTTCTCCTGCTAAGTCGTCACTGAGTCCTCCGTACCACTCCAATTTGGATGACTCTGAGCAGGCCTCCACGTTGCCAGATGCCGTGATCTCCATGCACAGTCCAGGCTCTCCTGGAGATTCCCTCAGCAGCTTCAGGGAACTGCTGTCAAGGATGATGAAGTCGTTGGAGATCGATGTCCAACATTGCATTGATCCCAACCAAGATAATATTTACGACATTGTCAGGAAAGAGGACTCATTCTCCATTGCTCTACCATTTATTACAACTCTGGCAGGCAATGATGGATACATGGCAGCTCCCAAATCAGCCGCACCTGACATCCAGGAAACTCAAATCGATGTACAAGGTTTGGGAACAAGACATCCCGTTCCCCCTCAAACATCCCAAGCCAAATTCAATTGTTATCAAGGCTTCCCAGGGTTGAGAGAACAAAGAGCAATCAATGCCAAAGGACAAAGAGGGCAGAAAGATCAACATGATGTCTTGTCGTATCTATGCTACTATGGAAGTCGGGCTGTGCATCTCCAATTACAAAGCTACCATGGCAAGGTATCAATGCTTCCTCATGCAGAAGCTCGAGTCCCTTACCTCTACTCTTCCAGAGCAGCAGAGGGACCTTGCCCGCATGTTCACCCGCGAGGCTGTGCAGCTTTCCATTCAGCAACTTAATACGGCAAGACATCATGTTGATTGTGACTCTAGGGCTCTTGTCGGTGCCATCGCCCTTTGTTGCCACACCTGGCTACGCTCAGGTAACCTTCCAGATGAGAGCAAGTGGTGCACGGAAAACATGCCCTTCGACGGCTCCAGGCTTTTCCACTCGAAAACAGACAACAAGCTGGAGAATATTCAGGAAGCTTGTCTTACAGCTCATTGTTTGAAGACACCCTCTCAGACCTGACATAAGTGGCCGTGGCCTTGCTCTCAATACCAGTAGCAACCTTACCCTCAGTATGCAGGGCACCAGCAATTCCAACCATGCCAGCAAAGGAACCGGAGGCAGAATGCATCTCGATACCAACAGGCTCATTGTTGCCCCAACACCAACAAGTGGCAGCATTGATGGGATGTGTGAACCTCTCCTCAGTCCTCCAACCCACCTTCCATTCTTCCTTTTGGGGATCGGCTGCAAGGCCGACTCCCCATTTGAGAGTCCATCATATCTGATAAGTAGGTTCTTTCTATCATAGAGCACAGATATAAAATCAAGTTTGACACCATGCCCCCACCGGGATCGATCCGGTATATGGCTTCCTCTCCGGTCCTTCAGGATGAAGTTTCCCAGTTACTTCGTAAAGGAGAGATTCGAAAGCTGCACCACTCCAAAGGACTGCACGGTTTCTACTCAAGGTACTTTACGGTACCTAAGAGGGATGGTGGTCTATGCCCAATATTGGACTTGTGTGGCATGAACAAATACATCTAAACCAAAAAATTCTGAATGACCATGCTCCACAATATCCTTCCACTGCTCAGGAAAGAGGATTGGTTCACATCCTTGGACTTAAAGGACACTTATTTTCATATAAGCATCCATCAGGCTCACAGGTGTCTCTTCCGGTTCACTGTTGGTACCAGCATATTTGAATACAATGTGCTCCCTTTCAGTCTCACTACTGCTCCAAGAGTTTTCACCAAGTGTATGGCTCCCCTATGTGCCATCTTAGGCTTCAGGGTATTCAGTTTTACCCTTACATCAATAACTGGCTAATCATCTCCTCTTCCAAGGAGGTCCTTCTAGCCGTCATTTATACAACCTGCTTTCTCCTTGACAGACTTGGACCATGCATTAATATTGAAAAATCATGCCTCGTTCGCTCTCAGGTCATCAACTTCATCAGAGCTCGCTTTGACTCGCTACGCACCCAAGCTTTTCTTCCTCACGACCGAAAGGACAGGCTACTTTCATCCATCCAGCGGATCACTGCTCAACAAACTGTTCCAGCGCTATTGATATAGAAGCTTCTCAGTCACATGGCTTCTACAGTTTTGGTAGTACCAAACACCAGATTACGGATGAGACCCTTACAACTTTGGTTCAACTGCCTTTTCCACCCACAAAGCGATCAACCACACCATCTGCTTCAGCCACCTACCTTGGTTCTTCGCACCCTGTCTTGGTGGACGATAGACGCCAACCTTTCTTTTGGGGTTCCATTCCATTCGCCTGACTCTTTGTACTGACGCTTCCCTGACGGGTTGGGGAGTCCACTAATCAACTTTCTGGACGCAGGATACCTGGCAAGGACACAAGACCACCAGACATACCACTTATTTAGAGATGTTGGCAGTCTTCAAAGCCCTTCGGTCCTTCGAGAATATCCTTTGGGACCGAACCGTGCAGATTGCATTGGACAATATTGTGACTGTGTTCTACATAAACAAGGAAGGCGATATGAGGTCAGCCCCCTTGGCTCATCTCACTCTCCACCTGTGGGTCTGGTACATTGCCTTTGGGATCACTCCCCTAGCTGTTCATCTCGCAGGGACCACTAACGAAGAAGATGATTCTCTCAGCAGACACATGTCCACGACTCACAAGTGGGAGTTAGACCGTCAAGTCTGCCAACACCTTTTTCGTCTCTGGGGACTGCCGGACATAGACTTATTTGCGACTCACAACAACTCTGTCTGCATGACATATTGCTTCCGAGCGGCCATCAGTCTGAATTCGGTCGGGGATGTGCTCATGATTTCTTGGACAAACAAATTCTTCTACACCTTTCCGCCAATACCGTTGATAACAAGGACACTGACCAAAATCAGCCAGGATGATGCTCACGGGATCCTCATAACTCCTTGGTAGCTCCGACAACTATGGTTCCCCACTCTTCTTCGGCTTTCCAATAACAACTTTCTTTGCCTTCCTCGGGTTCCACATCTGCTTACTCAACAACACGGCACCATTCAACATCAGGACCTGCATTCTCTCAACCTTATGGCCTGGCTCATTCAATGACTGGTTCTTCCCCATCAGTATCAAAAAATTTGTCAAATCCGACACAGACAACCCTTCCGACGCTGCTCTCGGATACGTCTCAACCTAATGCAGCATTGTCATCAGTATCAACATTGATACCAACACCTCCGTCAAATCCGAGTGATCTTCATCCTGACATACAGTTCATTCTCCAGTCTGCAGTAAGACCAGCTATGTGCCACTCCTATAATGCTAAATGGAAGCGCTTTACTTCTTTGCTATAGCTAATAATTTTGCACCTCAGTCTGCTACTATTGAGAACATTTTACAATTTCTACTCTTGCTACGCCAGGATGGGCTTAAACCCTCCTCCATTAATGAGTACATCACAGCAATCTCACATCATCACGGCTGTGTCTCCGGCTCCTCAGTATTCTCACATTTTCTCATCTATCGCTTCTTGAAAGGATTACAAAATCTCCAACCACCAATCCGATCGGTTGTACCAATGTGAAGCCTTTCTGTTGTTCTCCAGGCTCTCACTAAGCCTCCCTTCAAACCTCTGGCCACAACCGATCTATGTCTTCTCTCCTGGAAAACTGCTTTCCTAATAGCCATTACTTCAGCTAGAAGGGCTAGTGAACTGTGTGCTCTACAGGTAGATCCTCCATACCTGAGCTTTCACAAAGAAAAAGTCATTCTCCATACCGACCCAACCTTTCTTCCTAAGGTTGTTTTACCTTTCAATATCAATCAAAATATCATCTTGCCTGCCTTCTTTCCCACACCGACACTGATCAACGTTCCTTACATACGCTAGATGCTTAGCTTTTTATCAATCCCATTCTGAGTACTTTAGGAAAACTAAACGCCTATTGTCAAATACTCACAGCATGACAAAGGATCTCCGATTACTACCCAAAGGCTTTCTAAATGCATTGTAGAGACAATTGAACTGTCTTATCATCTCTTTAAATTGGACCTACCAGTCATGCCTAAAGGTATTCTACAAGGGCTGTCATGGCCTCTTCTGCTCTGTCTGCTGGTGTTCCCATGCATGACATCTGCAGGGTGGCTACATGGTCTACTCCGTGTACCTTCATGAGACACTACTGCCTAGATGTCAGGGCCAGACAAGACTGCTCTTTCGGGTGTGCAGTCCTCTCCTCTGTTTTTCAGTGACAACACTGTCCTGCCTCCAGGTGTGGTAAACTTACTAATCATCCATAATGTGTGATGCACAGAGGCCAGGGTGAAGAAAGGCAGGTGGCTTACCTGTAACTGTCATTCTTCGAGTGACTATCTGTGCATTCACCCAACCCGCCCACCGGCCCCACTTGGTGTCAGTGACTGGGTTGACGGGAATTGCCTCTTTATGGCTAATATTGATACTGTGTACCCATGCTCACTCATGTACATACCTACCTTACTGTCTGTGACAGCTGATTCCTGTCTTGTCACTCCCTGTCGAGTTTGACTTACTAAGTTCCACCTGGAGGCGAAGGGGCAGTGTTCAGTAGACTGGGGAAATGGCAGGCATTCCATTTATACTATGGGGGAGAGGGCACAGAGTTCCTGCCAAAACCATTAAGCTGTTTAATCTCCCTGGCAACAGGCACTGCACAGGCGTGGCACCCATAATGTGTGAATGCACAGATGGCCACTCAAAGAACGACAGTTACAGGTAAGCAACTTGCCTTTCTTCCTGGCATACAAATTCCTTGAACTCGGCTCTGCTGGAGCGTGTCCTGCTTTCCTCTGCAGGGGAGAACAGGACCCTACCGGCCTCTGTGTGACACCCCCTCACATACCTGTATGTCGCCAACAGATCCCCTCGGATTCTCCTCCAGGCTGAAAAGACCCAGTTCCCTCAGTCTTGCCACATATGGCTTTCCTTGCAATCTGGCCACCATCCTTGTGGCCCTACGCTGCACTGACTCTAACCTGGCTATATCCTTCCTGTAATGTGGAGCCCAGAACTGAACACAATACTCCAGTTGCAGGTGTACCAGAGTTGTATAGAGTGGTAGCAATACCTCTCTCAATCTAGAAGCCACACTTCTGGCTATGCAACCAAGGGTGGCGTTCGCCTTCTTGACCGCTATGTCACACTGCTGACTCATGCTTAGCCTGCAGTCAACCAGTACCCTGAGGTGCCTTTCACAAGTGCTGCTCTCCAGTACCTTTCACAAGCTCTCCAGGATAAGACCTTTCACTAATCCACATTGAATGCCATCCTTTTGCCCCCTGCCCACTTCCATAGTCTGTCCAGATCCTTTTGGATCTGGAGTACATGCTCCTCATTTGTGGCCACTGTCCTCACTTAACTATCATCTGTGAATTTGATTAGCAGACTGATCATCCTTTCTTCCATGTCACTGATGAAAAAATCAAACAGGATCAGTCCCAAGACAGAGCCCTGGGGGACCCCGCTTGCCACTGGCCACCATCCTGATGATTCCCCACTAATGGTTACCCTCTGCTTTCGTTCTGTCAACCATCCCCTAATCCATTGGACAGTGCATTGGTCTGTCCCAAAACTCCTCAGTTTCTCAACCAGGATATTATTGGGCACTTTATCAAAGGCCTTGCTGAAATCCAGATAAACCACATCCACCACATCTACTCTGTCTAACCACCTCAAAACCCTATCACAGAATTCCACAAGCTTTGCCACAAGGCAAACAACCTCTTGCTTGTAGGGTTCCATGGAAGCTGGTTGTGCACCAGGTAAACAGAATGCTTGACTAGATAGGCCTTTGGGATGATTAAGCTTGGCTCTTCTGATATGCACATGTTTGTGAGCTAAGATACCCAATTCTTAGTTCAAATTCTTAACCACTATAGCACACCAGCATTTTTGTTACATATCTCAGGCATACTGTGCCTATCCACGAGAAAATTAATGTGCAATTTACAGCATCAGTTTTATGGTAGATCTGAGACTTCAGGCCTTGGTTCACAGTGTCATTATTACCTTGTGATAGAACTAGCAACCTGGCCTAGATTTCCAGTCTGGATTCCTTTCAGACTTAATGCAGGTTCCAGCTCATCTGAAGTCTAGTACAAAAAGTATCCACAAGGAATTGACCTTTCATCTAGTCAAGAATCTGGCTATTTATGGTGTTCCAAGCTTTCATTTCCTGTACTACCTCTAAATACTCTATGCCCTATATTTACTCTGTATGCCCTGTGAAATTTTGCAAGTCCTAATCCTGCTTCTCCAGCACATGGCAAAAACAGAAATACACATGCCAAAACTGGATACTTGCCTATGTATATTGGCCTTTACAGCTCATATGTTTTGGTTACAAAAACTGGGGGAAAAACCCAGAATTCCTGATTTTTTTGTATGTATCTTCCCAAACAGGTCGATGAGCTAATGCGGCAGGAACTGAAAAATCTAAAGTTAGCTGTGGACCGAGAAACAGAGAAAAAAGGCAAAAAGGGCAAAAAAGGCAAGGTGAGAATATTATAACTTATATTAGGAACAAAGTTACTAATTAATTTGGGACTTACACAGACACTATTGCTGCCATTTTATTAACACAAATAGCTGGTTACACAAAAAGCTGTTTTTTTCAAAGCTCTGATCTGAAGTCATGGTCTTCCATGAGTTACTGCCTCAAATGAAAGAGTATAGCTGACTTGCTAAAAACTGTTTGAAATCCCACAGAGCCATTGCCACTTTGCATACACAGTACTGAGCTAGATGGACCAAGACTATTTGTGTAAATCAACTGCATCAGTGGTCTCCAACCTGGGACATGGGGGCTGCATTAGAGTGGCCAGTGCCTTAAATCAAAATGTAACAAGATTATTAACCTACTGATTTTGATCAAAAGTAAACACCCATAGATCAATGAAGAGATGTTAACTTGAATGCAATTCATTTTGGAACAATACTTTACTGTGGAATCCTTTTATTTAGCGACACATGCTTACCTAGTCAGTGTGATTTTTGTGCCCTTGTGCTGTGGCTCCAAGAATCTCTGTGCTTTGTCCCTGCCCTCCTCCAAGTAGGCCCTGCTTCGCTCCAGCCTGCGCCCTTCCTGCTGTTCCCATCCATCTCTAAGTAGACCCCACCTCACTCCAGCTGCTCCTACCTTTGCTGAAACAATTCACTGGTAAACTGACTTCGGAATTATGGTCGAACTCATTCTCCCTCTGTGAAACCTGACTTGCCTCTAGTCTCTGGCCCATGGTGAGGCTCCAGACTCCACTTGGGCCTGTGCCCTGGACCCAGCTTTCTGCCTATTCCCCTTGCCACCCATGGCTGAGCCCTCACACCACCTAGAGGAGCCTTGATGGATGGAGCCTCTAGAAATGTTCAGTAGGCAAAACACATTGTATCTTTTTTGCAACAGTACCAGGGCTTTTACTCTCCTTTTCCCATCTTTTTTTTTTTTTTGCAAAAGTAGGCAAGACGTCTCCTGTACCCATCTACACAGCTGCTTTATCTTCCTTATGCACATTTATAGCCTTCAACATGTGGCTGGGTTCACATGTCATAATAAGCAGACCTCTGTGGTTTCCACAGCATGCAGTTTTTTGTCTTAATGTAGCTGACAGATGATCAAGTGGTTTCCACCTTCCTCATTTAGTCCTGCCACTGTTGGCAAATATCCCATCAGCCACTGTGCCTGAAATTCAGTCCCACACTATATGGCTGAAGCAGCTCTTGTAGCTGCTGCTCCTATCAGGGGACTCTGTGGTAGCTGCATACAAGGTCTGTGGAAAACATGATGCTGTGTTTGGACAAACAGAAAAGCCATGGTGAAGCTTGGAAACCATAGAACAAACCATGCTTTCTTATCATGGTTTCTTAATGTACTATGCTTGACATAAGACAAAACAATGGTTTGTTTGGATGACATAACAAAGCATTCTGTGCAAGAAACCACTGTAGTTTGCTATGTCATGTGAACCCATCCAGTGAGTTGCTATTATGTGTGAATCTGCCCATTGTGGGAGAGAAGGTGAAGGTGGGAGCAGATAACAGGTAAAACATGCACCTCAGCATCACGTGCATGCTTGTATTTTGTCTGCACTGGGAAAGGCTGAAGTTAATGTACTCAGTTTTTGCAGGGGCTGGAATTATCACCTTTCACAATCCATGTGGACCAGTTCTAAATTAATGTTTTTGAAAGGAACAAAATAGAGTAATTTTTGGGATCGTGCTTAATAGATAAATTCCATTAAACTTTTTTGAGCAGAACATGCCACAAATGGAAATCATATAAATCATTGTTCAGTTCTGTAGCCCCAAATATTTCACGAATGACATTGGAATACACTTGTAATACCCATATTCTCATACCAAAGTCACTACCCAAACCACACAGCTTTGTTTGTTTGATTGTTGGTTTGTTTATTATTTCAGTTTATATGCTGCTACCACAGCCCATGATTGGGCTCCCTGTACAGCTTACAACAAAAACAACAATGTTCTAAAATCAATAATACTAAAAACATTAACAAAGCATCAATAATACAGAAACATAACCCAACAAATTAAGATATTATATACAAAATTAACTAAGCAAACCATGAATAATATAAACTAAAATAAAATTATAAACCAGGGTAAAGGGCTGAATCCAAATGGAAACATCACCTCCCCTCCCTTTCAGAAAAATTCTGACTCCACCCTCAGTGGGACTCCTGTTGCTTGAAGGTCAAATGGCAGTAACATCAGATACTTCCTCATTGGTCCACTCACTTTGCTTATCATCTCCTTCCAGGGTCAAGAAACTTGCCCTCAGTCTCTATCCCACAGTGTCCTAAAACGTCTCCCTCCCTTTTTCAAGGTGGCTGGTTCTCACACTCCGTTGGGAGTTTCTTTATTTTGTAAACTGTCAAGCCATCTGCCCACTTCTGCCCCTCCTCCTCCTCTGAATAATCCATTTGAGGAAACTTACTTGAGAGAGCTTGGCCCCTTTTCTACAAGAGATTCTTTGGTAGGCTTTATTTTAAAATACTTGTATTTTGAATTTGAATTGGTTCAAAATAATACATCAGTAGGATAGTTCACAATTTTTGACAAGTAGTATGGATTATTTCATAGGTGTATAACATTTGGGGTCTCTGGACATTGAATGAGATTTCATCAAAGAATTAAAAACAAATCTATAACATAACTATTTCTATCCTGCAATCATGGGTTTCTAAAATGCCATTTCATGTGTAGGAAAAGAAGACTACTGCTAATGCACTGTTTTTATAGATTTACCAAATTTAAATCATGTTTATTCTTCGTCGTGGCCTCTGTGCATCACACATATGGGTGCTGCGCCTGCACAGTGCCTAGGCCGGAAAGATTGAAAGCTAACGGTTTTGGCAGGAAAAACTCTGCTTCCCCTCCCCTCGGTAGTATATATAGAGCTGAGTGTCCGCCATTTTCTCCAGTCTTTTGCGACCGCCATTCGCTGTGCCTTGTGCCTGTTCGTCTCTCGCTTGACTCAGTATTGTTCATTACTTACCGTTTATCTTATTACTTTTATTCCAAGTAATATTCCCTCGTTCCAGTTTATATCTTCTTTTTCTCTTTACTTGTTCCTATAAAAAAAAAACTATATTACTTTTCCCTCTTTATATATTCTGTTTCTTCCTTTTCTGCGATGGTGCAGCGAGCGGCCTTCCGCAAATGTGCAGAATGTGGGCCCAAAATGTCTCTGGCGGACCCACATGACTTGTGCGTCCTTTGCCTTGGCAAGGGGCACAGGACTGATAAATGCCGTCATTGCCTTGCTTTCACTAAGCAAGCGTAAAAGAATAGGGAGAACCGGCTGCGCAAACTCCTTTGGGATCAAGCGCTGATGCAATCCAGTCAGCCTGCGGGAAAACCCAGGCCAGCGCATGCTCCATCTGCTAAGCACAAGGCCTCAGCCTCGTCCGAGCCAGTTCAACGCCCAGCCTCTGTCGCGGGCATGTCTGGGCAATGCCCTTCGCCCACGCCACCTATGCCGCAGCCGCAACCATCCGACAGTGGAAATTCCCCCCCAGGGGCTCAGTTACCTCTTTCCCCCCTCGTAAACAACGGGAAAAGAGGAAGCACGGGGGATCGGATCAATCTTCGGCTCACAAAAAGGTGAAGAAAGATAAGGCAGCAAAAACGCCTCATAAGAAGGGGCATCGGGATTTGGGTTCGACAGCCCCATTGATCCTGACGGCAGCTTTGGTACCAATACCATTGGTACCGATTCTTCAGGCGGCGATGCAGGTTACTCCTCCGGGGTCACCAATGCAATCTGCTCCTCAACAGGGCACGCCTGTTCCACTGCCCAAAGAGCAGCATCGTGAGTCGATATCGGGGAGATTCAGGATTCTCCTCCAAGAGCCCAGTCTCCGACTCCTATGCCTATGGTGAGAGCTCCATCACCACCACCTCAGACCCAAATGGACGAGAGGCAGGAAGAAGGATGGTTCCGACCCTACTATGACTACCCGAGGGGTTGGGAGGACTACCATTCTTTTGGATTTTGTCCTCACCGGTGGGATCGCTCTTCGCCTTCCCTTCATGAGGATCTGCCGTCTACTTCCCAGCATGTAAAACCCGAGCGTCCCACTTCTCCAGGGACCTACTCATCAGAACCATACCATCCCGGACCCGACTCAGACTCGGATGCCGACTCTACCTCTCCAGACAGCATGATTACATCGCAAGGTCCTTCATCACCTGAAGAACCCCACATTTCATTCGGGGAGCTTATGTCTAGACTTGTTCGGTCACTCGAGATCGAGGCGCAACATCAGCCAAATCCGAGCAACATCAGCCAGTTCTACGACATTGTCCGGGGTGAACAATAACCAGCAATCGTCTTGCCGCTTATTACAACTCTGTGGCAGGCAATGACACAACCCTGGGACTTGCCTTCTCAAACTCAACCTACAGTGAGAAGATACGAGTCCATGTATTGGGTCTGAAAGAGTGACATCCCCTTTCTGCTTCACCACCCTAAGCCAAACTCTGTGGTGGTCGAATCATCTCAGGGCAGGGAAGCTAGAGGCCATACCACCCCAGAGATAAGGAGGGACGCAAGATTGATACCCTGGCGTGCAGGGTTTATGCGTTTGCAGGGCTCGGGCTTTGGATGTCCAACTATGAAGCCACCCTCGCTAGGTATCAATTCTTTATTATGCAGAGGCTGAATAATATCGTCGCCCCCCCTGCCTGAGCAACAAAGGGACCTTGCCAGAACCTTCATTAAAGAGGGGATGCAAGTCGCCATTCAACAACTATCCACAGCACACCACCATGTGGATACGGACTCGAGAGCACTTGTGGGAGCTGTCTCACTGAGAAGGCATGCCTGGTTGCAAAACTGCAACTTCCCCAAAGAAATGAAGCGGCGAATAGAGGAAATGCCTTTTGACGGCTTCGGGCTTTTTCACTCCCGCACCGATCACAAGTTAAAGTCAATCCATGAATCCCAGATGATGGCTAGATGCATGGAACTGCCC